TTCGGACTTTGCCATCGGCTGTGCACTGCTGCAAGCAGACGCCGAGGGGCGAGATTGGAAATCTCGACAGCTCAAAGCTGCAGAGGAGAATTACCCAGTTCATGACAAGGAGCTACTTGCGATGATATATGCACTTGTCGTGTTCAGGGTCCATCTGCTCGGCCTTAAGCCGTTTGTGATATATACAGATCATGCGTCACTACGCACTGCAACTCAGTCGTCCCACTTCTCGCAGAGTATGGCTAGATGGCTATCCTTGTTTGCGGAATATTACTTCGAGGTGGAGTATAAGCCGGGAAAGCAGGATGCTTTGGCTGATGCGCTGTCACGGAGACCAGACTATGAGCTTGCTCATGTTACAACTGTAACGTCGTCTGGGACGAATTTGATCCGCACCGCGTATGCGGGTGATGGGATGTGTGTAGCGCTGCTACGGGTTCTCGGGGGCAAGGAGTTTAGAGACTTGGGCAGGAAATTGTCACCAAGACTGCGTGCACGACTGCACCGATATTCATTGAATAACGGCTTATAATATTATAGCACCGATTCAACGGATGCACCAAGAATTGTGATTCCTCATGATGACGATTTGAAATATCGCATTCTCTCACGACACGCCACATAGTGGTCATCTCGGTCGTGAGAAAACGTACAACTCTGTGAGTCACCACTATTGGAGACCCAAGCTGTACAAATGGACGAGCACCTATGAGCGCACGTGTGAGACGTGCCAATGGGTGAAACTCTCTCCAAATGCGGCTGCGCCGCTGGCCAGCTTACCGGTACCCAATGGGTGCTGGTAGTCCATGAGTTTGGACTTTGTGTTTGGCCTGCCGAAAAATTCGACGGGCAACACGGGTGTCGTCGTGGTATCCGTCGACCAGTTGAGCAAGAAGGCTCATTTGGCGGCGGTGCCAGACATTATCGACGGGTTGGTACAGCAACGCTGTTCGTGGATCGTGTTTTTCGACATCACGGTCTTCCAGAGTCGATTGTCTCTGATTGAGACCCCCGTTTCACGAGAAACTTTTGGTCGACTATCTTCAAGGTGCTAGGCACCAAGTTGGAGATGTCGACAGCAGATCATCCGCAGACCGATGGACAAACCGAAAGGGGGAATCGCGTCATCGAAGATGTTCTTTGCAGCGTCTGCGCTTGAGCGCCATGTTGCCACTAGTAAAGTCTGCGCTGAATAATGCAATGCATTCGTCTACCGGCTACACGCCGTTCTCGGTGAAAGGGCTGGTTCACCCTTGCGTCCCGCTGACGCCGCCATCCCATGGCTCGAGGATTGGTGGGGACGAATAGCAGAACGGCCTGCTATG